TTGGGGGGGGGGGGGGGCAGGCTGCAGCCCCAACCCACTAGACTGCTCCGCATTGGCCAATTCCTGACAATGGCGTTCACTACAAGGCCCGGCACTCTTCTTAATCGCTTCGAATGCGTCTGCCTCACTTCACAGAACCGAGGGATTGGAAGAGTCACCTCATTCCAAACTTAAAGCTGAGCAGTTTGGTTTCAGGGCCTCTCAGGGATTCCTTCTCCTTAAGCTGTTCTTGGGAGGCAGGCAGGCGTGGAGAGCCCAGCCTTCAGGTGCATCTGAGCAGCTGACTCGGATAAGCTAACTGGGCCAAATGCCATTTTGTCTGGAGCCCACGACCTCTCTGGCCACCTTGTGAGAAACCTACTTGCTGAGAGGTGTGTGTGTGAAATTTCCTTTGTGCCTGTCATTCAAGGCCAGTTTCTACTTTTCCCCTTCCCAGCCTAACCCAAAGGGCTCAGCCTTTCCCAGGTGCTTCGTAATACATTCATGTGCATTAGGTATCAGAAGAACCTTGAGGAATTTCACATTACCCTTTTTAACCCGTTTTGAAGCCGTTTTTGACCCGTTGTGGAGTAAACCGGTATAGGGCTGCCATTTCACACATGGCTTTCCCCTTCCGGTAAAGAGCTGGATCTGAAGCGGTTTGCCATTTCAGACTGCACCGCTTTTTCCCGCTTTCCCCCCACCGTTTTTCGACCGTGCGGGCGATCTCCGGCTTTTTTTTTAACATTCGCTTTAGAGCGCTATAGCGCTATAGCAGTATTAAAAACACTCCATGCATTCCAATGGGGTTGAGATAATGCTATTCCGTTATAGCGCTATAAAGCAAACGTTCAAAAACAAAGCCGGAGATCACCTGCGCGGGCAAAAAATGGCGGGAAAAAGCGCATCGGAACCGGGAGAGGAAACTGAGGAGTACTTGGAAGCAGTTGACAGGTAAAACACTTCAGCCCCGTTTCCTAAACGGGACAGAAGTGATTGTGTATGAAATGACAAATATATTCCGGAAGGGAACCGGTTCTCAAACAGTCCTGTCTGAAATGACAGACCAGAAACCGTTTGGGAACCATTCCTCTTCCGGATTATATCGTCTGTCTGAAATTCCTCCTTCTTTGCAGACCCTCCTCTAACATACTGGCCTCGTCTTGGATGCTTTCTCTTAATGGGTTCGAAAAGGCATTTGTCCAAGGGTAGGAGCCGAAGGCTTCAAAGAGAGAGCTGTTTTAGGAAAGAAGAAGAAGAGATTGGATTTATACACCACCCTTCACTACCCGAAGGGGGTCTCAGAGCGGCTTACAAAGTCTTTTCCCTTCCCCTCCCCACAACAGACACCCTGTGAGGTAAAAGAAGAAGAAGAAGAAGATATTGGATTTATACCCCGCCCTTCACTACCCGAAGGTGTCTCAGAGCGGCTTACAAACTCCTCTCCCCTCCCCACAACAGACACCCTGGGAGGTGGGTGGGGCTGAGAGAGCTCTGACAGAAACTGCTCTTTCAGGAACAGCTGGGCCAGAGCTTGTGACTGACCCAAGGTCATCCAGCAGGTGGAGGAGTGGGGAATCAAACCCGGTTCTCCCGGATTAGAGTCCGCGCACTTTAACCACTACACCAAATGTGCTTAGAGCCAAGCGAAGTTGGCAAGGCTTGATTTTCTGACTCTTCATACGCTCTTCTGTCTGGAAGGGATACATAACCAGCCCTCCTTTTGAAACCGCCTGAAAAGTGGAACTCCAGGAAGCCCTGTAGCCTGTTTGGCTTTCAAAATGGATGTCGGACAGTACAGGAAATTGGTATTCTCTACATTTTATACCTTGTTGCCGTTTGCAGGCATTTCCTGGTGTCTACTGTTCAATGCAATGGACATTTCTGATTTCAGCTTGAAACCTCTTTACAGGCCCGTGCCCAGCACTTTCCATCACAGACTGTGCATTCAGGTCATACATGGTGGGCTTGCCCCACAGAATAACGGTGGTGTAGTGATCAGAGTGTCAGACTAGGATCTGGGCTGTAAAGGTAAAGGTTCCTCCTTGCTCGAAAGCCAGTCGAGTCCGACTCTAGGGTTGCGGTGCTCATCTCCGTTTCAAAGCCAAAGAGCCAGCGCTGTCTGAAGACGTTTCCGTGGTCATGTGGCCGGCATGACTAAACACCAAGGCGCACGGAACTGGGAAACCCCAGTTCAAATGCCCAGTCTGTCATGGGAGCTCACTGGGCGGGCTAGTCCCACACTCTCAGCCTAACCTACCTCTCAAGGTTGTTGTGAGAATGACATGGAGGAAAGGATCGGGGGGGCGCTGGGTTGGCCTGAAGCAGCAGAACAAAGTGTCAAACTCGCTCGCCATGGGTTTCTTAACTGTCAGTCTGTCTTTGGTTCTGTATGCTTATCGTCCTGTTTCATTCCAGCTTGGGGGGGGGGGGGGATG